AATATATATATATATATATATATATGATTTGGACACATAAAAAAGGTATCAGCATAATCTATGGATGCCTACTTGTTTAATAATGTACGTTAGTTCCTCAATTTCCACTGCTTTGTCATCAAACAGGGATTTTCTTTTAGCCACTAGAAAAAAACAAAAAACAAACAATAAATCAAAATGATATATTTGATACAGTTTGTATTTCACAAAAATAGACATATTTATAGTCCAATGGTATGAGTGTATTCATCAAAAAATCCGAACTGCGCATGCGCCCGCCCCAAGATCCTTTGCGGCCGCCTGAGATTTTGCAGATTTTTGGACGGGAGCGCGCTTGCTAACAGTAGATATATGGGAAAACAAAATTGAGGCTTTAATTATACTTTGAGGGGATGTTCCACCTGATTGTCTATTCTTTGCAAAGAGAATTTTCACTTTGTTTCACATTATTCGCCAAGATTGGTGAAAACTCCCTTTGCAAAGCTCCTTCAAAATCAAAATGAATAAAGGTTACTTAAATCCAACATTAACAAATCAGTGATTGGAGAAAATGTAAAACTACTCCAAAGATTCAACACTGATTTTGCAGAACTGGCAACATCTGTCTAGAAGACACAACACAAAATGACTATTTTACACAAGAGCATAACCAACAACACAGCAGTGCTGAACCTAGGTGTCCTCTTATAGAAACAAGGAAAAACACACTATACATGAATGCAAAAAAATACTATACCTATTAAAAATACAATTCTAATTATTTAAATAAAGAAGTTGCTGTTTTTCTGTACATAAACAAAAAAAAGTTTTTAGACTTACATATTGTCAGTTTTTCCAGCTTGCTGAACGTGTTGCTAAGATCCTTTCCGATTCGTCTGTAGAAGACAAAATGTGCCAACAAAATGAATAAAATAAATACAATTTTAGAAACAACTAAAAGAGGAAGAAGACTGAAAAAACATAGGAAAAAAACAGAAGTGTGCTCTTGTTCCATTTAGGGATGCACAGATATATCGTCTGAAAATGGCATTTTTGGCTAAATGCCGAAAGTGCCATTTTTGGGTCAATACATGGGCGCATCCCTGATTTCTTTCCTCCCCGCTGGGTGCTGCTCTGTGTCCCAACGGGGAGGAAAGAAAGTGCGACAGCCGGTCGAGCTCTGCGGGAGGAGAGCGATGTGAGCGGCCGGCGTCTCTCCTCCCACACCGCTCAGCCTACTATCACTCTCCGGCAGAGTGGTGTGGGGGGTGGAGACAGCCAGCGCCGTCACAGGAGGCCGAGCTCTGTGACAGCTGTCAGGAAGGAGAGCGGGTACAAACACTCAGTGATCGCTGAGTGTTTGTAAATAATTGAGGACATAGCATGTTGACTATATCCTCAATTATGAATGAATGGGAAGTGATCTACATCACCTCCTGTTCATTCATGATTGTGGTAATAGTAAACACACTCTGTTCTCATGTTATCAATGAACGGGAACACTCAGAGGATTCCTGTTCATTGATAACTGGGGCTGCAGAAAAAAGGGATTGAGGACCCTGTGTCCTCAATCTATTTTTCTATTTTAAAAAGGGAAATATCAGGGGTCTGCTTAGACCCCTAATATTTCCCTGTAGCCCCTAAAAGTAAAAAATACATTAATAAATATAAAAAAATTTAAACGTTTATAATAAATTAAAAAAAAATGAAAATAAAAATTTTTCGGTTTCGGCCTGACAATTTTTTCTTATTTTGGTTTCAGTTTTGAAATGTCCATTTCGGTGCACCTCTAGTTCCATTATGGTCCATCAGAAATGGTCTCCAATCCTCTGCATCCACAAGCATTACGTCACTAATTTACAAATAGACCTTGGATGAAATCTTGAAGCGAAAGGTGCGAAAAAGAAGGCAGTCTTCAGAAGAACAACAACAACAGCATAATCCTACCTAGACTACTTGCTACTTCCTGTTGTTTAAAAGCTACCCAACTAAAGGACCTTTACCTACAAAAAAAAATAAAAAATCTAATTCTACCAATGGAACCTTCTATGTATGATGATTAATAATAACAGACATGTCAGGCGTACAATGCTGTGGATTTTTAATTACTTACACTTGCAGAGCATTCACTTCCTGCTTTGAAAGGGCAAAATTACTTTAGTTTACCAAAGCAATGCACACTGGGATTGCCTTGCCATCAGCAGAGCATTGCTCGGAAATCTCATCTGTAATCTCACGAGATCTCAGGGAAAGGCATTTTCCTCCCCTGAGATGATGAGCATGGTCACATGTCCTAATCACATGTGCCAGAAATCCAGGAAGTAATAGAGCTAGTAATCTGCCCTTAGTAAACATGACCACTGCCAGAAGACTGAGGAAGAAGAGAGAAATAAGGTATACAAAGCCGGCAATTATCTAGAAGTATGCGTTTGTAGATTGTCATTAGTAAGCAATTCTATAAGGTGTGCCTGTTGTTATTTTAAAGATATGGGTAAAGGTCCGCTTTAATCCTTTTGCAGACCATCAATTCCATTGAGTATTGAAGATGACTGCTAACATACTCACTAAAATATAGTTTTTGTTTTAAATTTGAAAGGTCATTTAGCATCTCAGCCTTTTTTGTGTGTACACCATTTAGAATGTAAACTCTTTGGGAGTTTTTGGGACACACTTGGACCTGTTTACTTTTATAAAAGGAAAATAGTCACTGTTGGTGCTAGTTACTGTTGGTGCTATTTAAATAAACACTGCAATCGTGACACAATATAGAGAAACGCTGTAATAGGTAAAGACGTTATGAGCAGAGAAAGGAAATAGAGAAAAATGTTTCTTACTTGGCCATAAGAGTAAATTCACTTCTCTGTTTCACAGCATTAAGAGAAGGATTAGACAGCTGAACACCATTCTGCAAAGAATAAATCAGATCAGCATGAGTGAAAATGACATTATCAGGTAACTACATCATGCTCTACCTGTATGCATTTCAGTGCATTACTCATGAAATGAATGGGAGCTATCTGACTATCCAGAAGTAAATTTTCACATCTTTAACTGGTTCTCCCATCAGGCTGTTTTATATATACATATTATACTTACAATAACGTAAGTGATCATTTAAAGTGGCATGTGCAGCAAATGTATATTTAGCCATTTACTAATAATGACACAAAAATGAGGAAGCAGTCTATTTTTTAATTTTTTTTTGTAAGTAGGTTCACACTTCTGCAGTAATGTAACATGTAATGCTGTACCATTCATTTTAAATAGCACCACAACACACCTGGATTTTTTTAACACACCGTAAAATAATTTCCTTGGAAATTTAATTGAGGGACACAGCATTCAGAGACAATTGGGTTATACTGTTTATACAGTTAAACTGGGTTATACAAATCAAAACCATGCAAAAAAAAAGTCAGTGCAAATTTACACTGATCAGCCTTGTATTACCCCTTTCACTCCCAACATGCCTAAATGTAATAACAAGCAGGGCTGAGAGTAAAATTAGAAACAGAGGTGTTGGACCTGTGTCTCCCAGTGAACTTCTAACAAAAGCTTTTTATGGAGAGTACAAAAATCCAATTTTCTCGTTCATTGAGGTGCAAAGAATTTGAAGAAAACAACATAAAACTTGAGAATACCTGCAGCTCAAATCGCTGCCTGAAGGACCTTATGCGCAAAGCTGGCATCATTTTTTAGTTTAACTTTATTTAATTTTTACTTCATTGCTGGAAACAATAGCCAGTCTGCTATTGGATATTTCATGGCAGCGGAGGCACGGGGAGGGAGGCAGTGGAGGACCAGGACAGCTGCGGAGGTACAAGGGGAGCAGCGGGGGAATGCAGCCACAACGGTCTCTCCTTCCCGCTGCCTCTGCTGATACAGGCGGGGAGAGCAGCGTAGATTGAAAGGGACCCAGATTGCTGCAGCCAGCACCAGCGGGGAGGAGAAAGGAGGAGCAAAGCGGCGGCAACTAATCGAAAAGCAACTAATTGATGACGAGAATCGTTGACAACTATTCTCATTAACGATAATCGATTAGTTGTTGCAGCCCAAGTGCAATTTTAGGCACATCAGGGTGCATGGGTCTTTCATTTTGACTGTGCTTCCTTAATGCAATGCACATCATAATGCACCACTCAATTGACTTTATACGCATTCAATAATAGTAGGGTTGGATCACATCATAATGCACCACTTAATTGACTTTATAAGCATCCTAAGGCAGGGCCGGATACCAGTAATATGGAATTCACAAGCCAGTCTGTCCAATCCAGGAGCAAGCAGGATTATCGCTAGGAATTTTTATTTTAAGGAGCGGTTATTTTTAAAAGAGCATTGGCTACCAGGTTCCTGGTATTTGTCCAGCACTGACCCAAGGATACAAATAAACAGCCCATTCCTCACAATGTGTCAGCAGATTGGGCATTTTATGGCCAGGCCAATTAAAGGCTTCTAGAAAGTTTTGAGACAAATGATCATAGAGGGCTCTGTTCTGTCAAAACAATTGATACAGTCCTACTATAAGCTTGCACAAAACACCAATTTTACTGTAGCTGTGCTCTATAGGATCTTCTTACATTTCTCTTCAGGTTTCTGCACATAAGATGGTTGAAAATGTCCGCAGCTTGTGTCCCATATCTGATAGTTTTACTTATCTTGCACGTAGAATCTAGCTGCCAGAAGGACAATCTCTTCTTGTGGCTGTATCATGTTGATGGAATTATGACAGAGAGAAAACTAAGGTCTGAATTTAAAAAGGTCACTAAACAGCAAAAGGGCTAGATGACTATAGGACTCCGTCCTGAAATTGTGGCACACCCCTAACTGCAAACATGGACAAAAACAAGCATAAAAAAAAACCCAAACATAACTGTATATGAACTTGTATGCCTTTTTCGCACTATTATGCTAACCTGACGTCCACGCAGAGACTTGCAAGCAGATATGAACTCAGCAGTGCGGTCCCGGCAGGACATCACGTTAGCTGGAGGAGGAAGAACCGGAGGAGAGAAAACCTCAGTAGTAGTGGAGGGCAGGACTTGGGTCTGTGGAGGTCCTACGTAAACTCCGTTATCAGTGTTGCGGGAACCGTGACGTTTACGAGTGTTCATGAGTCCTGGGCCAGCTGAAAGATAAACAAGTATTAATCCATGCAAAGAATGTGTAGGGCAAGCACATGGTCACCAAATAATGCCAGATGCCTATAATTTATAACACCAAATTTCAACAAGATATTTCTTTCAAACATCCCAAATGTTTGCTAGGCAATGCACAGTAAAGCTGCAGCTAACGATTATATTCAAAATCGATTAGTTAGCCGATCATTAAGTTCGATTAACCGGTTAAATCGGGATTTTAAAAAATAGCTCCAGTGATGAACTACTAGTTTGTATTGAGATTGCAGTCCATCACAGGAAGCAAGCTTGGAGCGGTGGAGTGTGGTGTGCAATATAGTGAAATGGAAAGTGCAAAATTATAGAGCAATCAATGCATAATGGCACCGGCTATAGGGGACTACAAATACCAGCAATAGAACATTATACAACGCAATGCAGAATACCACCAGCCCTAGAGGAATACAACAAATCCCAGCAATTATAGCTGGTGGTATTCTGCATTGTGCTGTATAATGTACTATTGCTGAGTTTTTTAGTCCTCTATAGCTGGTGGTGTTCTGCATTGCACCACTGTATAATGTATTATTGCTGGGATTTGTTGTACTCTTCTATAGCTGGTGGAATTCCACATTGCACTGTATAAATGTATTATTGCTGGGATTTGTAGTCCTCTATACAGCGCAATGCAGAATACCACCAGCTATATAGGAATACAACAAATCCCAGCAATAATACATTATACAGTGGTGCAATGCAGAACACCACCAGCTATAGAGGACTACAAATCCCAGCAATAATACATTTATACAGTGCAATGTGGAATTCCACCAGCTATAGAAGAGTACAACAAATCCCAGCAATACATTATAGAGCACCATGTGTGGGAAAGTGCAAGTTTAGCTGAGCAGTCTTCCAGCAACTTGCTTCTGAGATTGGGCCTGTCCGTCGGCGGCTGTCATCCCCCCACACCTGCACCTCCTTACTTCTTACCCGCGTCCCTGTGCCGATCTTGGATGTGGGTGGGCGGTGAGCGTGAGGCGGGGAGGAGGTGCGGCCTTTGGATCGTGGATGCGGGCGGGTCTGGCAGCGGAGAGCGCGCGTGGAGCCGTGAACAGGGCCAACTAATCAAAAGCCGATTAATCGACAATCATCGATTATTATCAACTTAGCAGCCCTAATGCACAGTCACAAGTATACCATAGAGGAAATAAGATGGATGTATAATCTTTCATACCATTAGGCAGGCCATTGACAGAACCATTTTAAGAAGATAGCAGAAGGATCAATGAATAGTCATGATCAAGATGACGGTAAGTGAACAAACTGATTGTTTTTTGCAACTCATACAATATCAGAGTAATTCTTTCTAATCATTTGCCATCTAAGCAGTAGCTGACGTCTTCAAGACCTACTAGGAATGCACCAAAATTTTGGCTGCAGAAACATTTCAGGCAAATAGCCAATAGTACCAAAATGGCCGAAAATGCAGTGCATCCCTAGCTTCTCTCCTCTCCCCTGGGCGACGGTCTGTGTACCCTCCGATCCCCGTTGCTTTCCCCCACCTGTGTCAGCAGAGGCAGTGGGGATGGGAGGGGACACAGAGGCAATCCAGCTGCCTGTGCCCAGCTGTCAGAAGGCCGAGGGGGCAGGCGGTGATCTGACAAGGATCAGACAAGCTGTCAGGAGGCCGAGGTCTCCACCCACACCGCCTCCTGTGACAGGCGGAGCAGACAGGATGGACAGCAGAGTACAAACACTCAGCGATCAATTCACTAAATGTGAACAATCTACATAGCTGGTACCAGCCACAATTAAGGCTTGTCAAAGATGGAAAAAAATGTCATCTGGTTTGACGAGGATCAGACAAGCTTGCGTGACAGCAGGTTTGTTTCATTTTAAACAAAAACAATGGGAAAAAAAATGTATTGGCAAATACAGAGAAACCTGATTTTCCAACAGGATGGAAAATTCTTGTCAGCAGTTTACCAGTGATGAGAGATGTTCAGTGTTAATTTAGTCGACTAAAATGTTTCATCATAGTTTTTGTCATCTGCATGTTTTCACCGATGAAAACAAAATAAAAACTAAGTTAATAGGAGTAAAACTATGACCAAAATACATTGCAATTGTCTCTACTGGAGATTTAGTTGACAAAACTAAACTAAAACAATTCAGATGACTAAAATGCGACTAAAACTAAAATGTGTATTTTAGTCATCTGAATTATTTTAGTTTTGTCAACTAAATCTCCAGTAGAGACAATTGCAATGTATTTTCGTCAGTTTTACTCCTATTAACCCCTTCATGACTAACGACGTACAGTGTAAGTCGCTAGCATCGGGGCTGTTTAAACAGACTCCCGGCGGCTTTTGCCCCATATGTGATAGCAATTAAAGTAAATTAAAGTAACGTAAGAAAAAAATGAAATAAATAACAGTTTTTAAAATTAACATTACATAAAATAAATCTAAAAATAATGTAAAAAATGTTTTAAAGTACCCCGCCGCGAGCACGCGCGTCGCCTGGTAAACACGCTTCAGGTGCGCCTACGTATGAAAACGACGAACGCGCTACATGTATTTTTTAAAAGTAGTAACTTGCATGTAAAAAAACACAAATCCGGCCGACACAGCAGCTCAGGGATAGCAGTTAAAAGCTCCTCGTGTGTGAATGAATCTGCCTTTTGACGCGTTTCGTCATGTGACTTTTTCAAAAAAGGCAGGATATCTTTAGCAGCTTTAGGCTCAAGTTTAATCTAGGTAGCTCCAGGAGCGCAGAATTCATCTCTCTTATAATTATCTATAACTATCTGTAGATTGCCATTACTAAACATTTAAAACAATGTCTTTGCTGTCATTTTTAGGATAAAGGTGAAGATCCTCTAAGTATTTGAGATGTCCCAATATTGAGGCTGCCAGCCGCTCGTTCAGCCCAGCACCTGTCGCAGAGCCCTGGTAAAATCTGGATGCAACCATAGTGAGAAACTGCCCTGAAATCATTAAACGCTATAGTTTTAGAAAAAAAAGGTTAGATGTCCCTTTAAGAAGAAGCACCGGTAATTGGTATCCGCGAGAACCTGAGGGAAAGTACTTGGAAAAAAAAAAATGGTATCGGGGATCTCCCTAACAAGTATCTTTATGGTTTATAAAAGATTAAAACCATTTTTGGAATCCAAAATTCTTGTGTTGCAAAAATCATGCATCACTGTATTAAAACATTTTAAGCTGGTAAATAATCCAAACATTATAGTTTATTGCTTATAGTTGTAAGAATATTTCTATTCCTAATAAAAAGGAAAAAAATAAAACTTTAACCCTCGCAGTGGGGCCTCTCTTTCCCTCCGATGTAGCGGTCTAAGGTCCCATAAATCATCACGCTCAATACACTGTATATAGCCGAGAGGACACAGAGAAACTGTCCAATGCTGCAGCGTAGGAGGGCACCGGCTGGAAGGGGCGCTCTCCTGCTCGGAGCTTCAGGTGAGTATAACTGTTACTTTTGAACCTAGACAAAAATTAGCACATGACCCCACACATGGCTACCGCAGGGGTAGTCCCACTGCATGGGTTAATAAAAAATGTCCTAGAATTCTTTAATAGTCACTACATTTTCAATAAGATCATGTAAAAAAAAAAAGAATTATTGAGATACGTTGTAGGTATTGGAATTTTAAAATCAATCAAAATGTGTCCAAACCCCCCCCCAAATAAAGCTTGCCCTCAGAAGAACTTACTGGGAAGAGGAAATGTATCGTGTCACGTGGTATCCAATCTACCTTGAGCCTCAAATGCTGATACTTTGGTACCAAGCTAGTGGGACAGCTCTGCCATTAAAAACATCTTTTATATGCCAGCTACCTGGTTGCACTGCCAAAAATCCAACATCTGTGCTTAGTTCAGATTGCTTAACCCACGATACAGTATAATGCATTCATTATAAAGGTTCGCATTTTAATTATTAATGGAAATAACTGGTCTAAAAAGGCACCTAGACACTAGGGCTGCAACAACTAATCGACATAATTGATTATAATCGATTATTGAAAAAGTTGTCAACTTTTTCAATAATCGATTAATCGGCTTCCGATCAGTTGGCCCTGTTCACGGCTCCACACGCGCTGCGCGCCGCACCTCCTCCCCACATCATGCTGGCCGCTGCCAGACCCGCCCGCCCGCATCCATGATCTTCACGCCGCACCTCCTCCCCGCCTCACTCTCACCGCCCGCCCACATCCACGATCGGCACAGGGACGCGGGGAGATGTAGTAAGGAGGAGCAGGTGTGGGGGGATGACAGCTGCCGATAGACAGGTCCGATCTCAGAAGCAAGTTGCTGGAAGACTGCTCAGGTAAGCCTGCACTTTCCCCCCACATGGTGCTCTATAATATATTGCTGGGATAGTGGGATTTGTAGTCCTCTATAGCTGATGGTACATTGTGCTGTATATTATACAGAGCAATGTACCATCAGCTATAGAGGAATACAAATCCCAGCAATACATGGGATTTGTTGTATTCCTAAATAGCTGGTGATATTCTGCACTGCGCTGTATAGAGGACAACAAATCCCAGCAATAATACATTATACAGCGCCATGCGGAATACCGCCAGCTATAATATACTATTGCTGGGATTTGTTGTATTCCTCTATAGCTGGTGATATTCTGCACTGCGCTGTATAATGTACTATTGCTGGGATTTGTAGTCCTCTATAGCCGGTGCCATTCTGCATTCATTGCTGTATAATTTTACACTTTCTTTTTCACTATATTGCACAGCACACTTTTTTTTTTTTCTTTTTTTACCTCCACCGCTCCAAGCTTGCTCCTGTGATGGAGTGCAATCTCAATACAAACTAGCAGTCCATCACTGGAGCCACTTAAAAAAATTAATTTTATTGTTTATCCGATTAACCGATTAATCGAACTTAATAATCGGCTAACTAATCGATTTTGAAAATAATCGTTAGCTGCAGCTCTACTAGACACCACACACACACACACCTTCCAGAGTGGTTGTGTGTTGCTCCCAATACTTCCACTGTCTGAAGAATCGCTTAAAAAATGACCATTGCTTTGTAAGAAACCATATAAACAAGCCCACAGACATGGAATAATCACTGCCAATCAGGGTCATTGTGGCTGGATAAGGAACAATCATATCTATGGGTAGCAGCAGAAAACTGTTTGGGCTGGGGTTTTTTGGGGGCCTGTTGCTATTGTTTGTCCCAAGATAAAGCCAGAATTAGACTGGCCATCAACCTCCCTCCTTACAAGTCAACGTGCATACTTAGATGATATATATCAATGTTAAAAGCAGGATTGTTGACATAGCCGTTTGATAAGTGAACAGAAAAGCTAAGTGCCCTGTGATGTCTGGTGAATGTTAACTTCAGTAAAGATCTCATCTGTCTTAATGAGGCAAACAAACATGTTGGTGTTCCATTACGATAACCGAGAAGCCTCTCATTTATAGCATAACATATACTGGATGCAGTATGAAGACATACTTTATACAGCATGTTCATATTGCATCACCATTCATGCCATATTTTCACTTATTAATACAACACATACACTATATTACCAAAAGGTATTGGGACACCCTCCAAATCATTTGATTCAGGTGTTCCGTGAAATTCCTTGCTACTAAATATTCTGTGGTCAACTGTTCGGTGGTATTATAACAAAGTGGAAGCAACTGGGAACAACAGCAACTCAGCCACAAAGTGGTAGGCCATGTAAAATGACAGAGCGGGGTCAGCGCATGCTGAAGTGCACAGTGCGCAGAAGTCGCCAACTGTCTGTACAGTCAATAGCTACAGACCTCCAAACTTCGTGTGGTCTTCAGATTGGCACAAGAACAGTGCGTAGAGAGCTTCATGGAATGGGTTTCCATGGCCGAGCAGCTGCATCCAAGCCTTACATCACCAAGTGCAATGCAAAGCGTTGGATGCAGTGGTGCAAAGCACGCCGCCACTAGACTCTATCGATTCTCTGTCTGGCAATATGATTGATGTGTCTGGGTTTGCCAGGAGAACTGTACTTGTCTGACTGCATTGTGCCAAGCGTAAAGTTTGGCGGAGGGGGGATTATGGTGTGGGGTTGTTTTTCAGGGGTTGGTCTTGGCCCCTTAGCTCCAGTGAAGGGAACTCTTAAGGCACCGCTTAGGGGCGGGCTTCCGATGACCGCAGTGAGGGGCGGGCTTCCGTTCACGGCAAACGGGCAGTGTGCGCACAACGGCACTTGTCGAACAAGCAGGCCACTAACCCACCGAGAATCGTATGATTCTCGGCGGTTTTTCAAGCCTGCTTGTTCGACGGAAGACTTGCGACCGTACAGTAGAAACGGTTGAACGCCCAATTGGCGTCCCAATACTTTTGATAATATAGTGTATAATTGCAATATACTGCATGTATAAGTGGAAGGGCTTGTGGGAATTGTTTTGTTCTCTGTCACTGCTCACATAACTGCACACAACTGGTCAGCCAGTACTGGGGAAAGACCGATGGGGATCCTCAGAAGGATATACATACGTTAAAGGTTTGGCCCAGAGTTCAGGTTTAACACCGCCCCTTGTCTTGTTACCATAACATACGGGAAAGTGTTCTGTAGTCCACAGAAGCTAACTGGGCAGTACAGGGAGAGAGCACAAGAAGTTACAAGTTCATTCTGGCAGAATCAATATGTATTCTTCTGTACATGCAGCATTTTTAAAAAGACAAAAAAAATGGGGAAATGTTCATGTATTGGAAAGAGGTTTGTTTTTTACAATTTTGTCCATACATGTAATTCAAAAGAAGGCAGAACGTTCACTGGAATGAGTAAACAAGATGAAGCTGTGTTCACTTCAATTGACCAATCAAATACTACCCAAAAATCCTGACTTTTTGTTTCTCTGCAAGTGAATGGCTATTGAAGCTGTGAAGTGTGGGAATCTGTAAAAAAAAAAATACAAATAAATGGACTTTATAGGTAGATCCTTTTTCTATACAGTTGATGGTAAACGCTGCTGTTCCGACATATCAAAGATGAAACAAAATGTGTGAGCAGCTGATTTACCACTAACTAGTTTACTAGCAGTGGATGGGATGATATAGTGAGTTACAGAATATGTATATACCATTATTTCACAGCTACACATACCAAAGTTCATCAAACTTTATAAAAGACAAACGTCACACCAAGCTATGCAGCATTTCCTTTTATGATGCATTCACACCAAAATATGTGCATTGGATGCGACTCAGTGCAAGTGTGAGATCCAGTGTACCCATCGCACTCCTGACCCAATAATACCCGTAGAGTCGGGTGGGTGCCAAAGTGACTGCAGATGCCTCTGCAATCCAAGATAAGTGTATGTATAAACTCACTCGCACTCCAATAGAATTTCAAGTAAAAAACGATTTATTGACTCGATTGCGATCACATCATATAGCGACGTTTCGGAACTACAGCGGTTCCTTCTTCAGACAAACAGAATATGCAGCCATATACCATTATTTCACAGCCACACATACCAAAGTTCATGAAACTTTATAAAAGACAAACGTCACACCAAGCTATGCAGCATTTAAGTTTAGGATGCATTCACATCAAAATGTGTGCATTGGATGTGACTCAATGCCAGTGTGTTCATTCATGTTGGCATAGTACGTTGACATGCGTTGCATGGTTTGATATTTACACATACGTTAAATATACGTTGTGCTGAAAGAAAGAAAAAAAAAAAAGTAAAGCCTGCTCTACTTTGTTTTCAGCGCAGCTCACATCAACACAATGCACTGGTGTATAACTCTTCCACTCTCACCCAATTTTCAGATGTCCTTGCATTGGCATGCATTGAAAAAATGCATTGCAACAAATCTGGGGTGAATGGAGCCATAAACTTCCACAAAGGTACGACTATCTCCCAAACCATACTATAGAACTAATAGAAAAAAAAGGTCAATAGTACCCAATGTTGCTTAAAATGAGAAAACATGGTATGTCAACCTGAAGACAAACACCGTGCCTTCCAGCAGCTCAGCGCTAACTGCACAGGCATGTATTGATTTGGCAGGGCACGGTCAAATGTGCCACCTTATAATGGCAGTGGTACAGTAATACGTAGTGGCAGAGTGGAATGACTGACAGTCACTGCTCTCCACATGGAGCTGAGCAATCAGTGCTTACATGATTGCTCAGCTCTTAGTATAGAACCAGCAAATGACAGCTCCAGTGTCCCATGCTGGCACTAAGCCGGGAGAGTAGTTTTACTCTCCTCTTACTTCTCCTTTAATTATTCATGTGGGTTTATGCTGCCACCACATCTAATGAACACAGCTGTCTCTCAATGAACGCAGAGAAAAGAAATTGAAAGTACATAGTTTCTATTTTCTCCATAGTTCATTGGCAGACATGTCTGGATTCATTAGGATACACTGTGCTGGCAGCACAAACTTACAAATCTGGTGTGGTATCTCTCAGTGGAGTCAGAGAAGAGAATCTTGTAATGTGCACACAAATTCCATCAGGTCAATATGCCGGTGATAACAGACAAGTAATGTATTCTCTGGTGAGGAACACAGGCAAGCTGCTGTCCACAATGACAGGGAATGGTGGAGTTGAGGGGACACTCCTTTCAGTGACCCCCATGACTGTTCTATAATGAAGGTGATGATATACACTTGGGGGTAACAGCACAGCAACAAGTGGGAGCACTGCAGTCACCCATATTCAGTGACCACCTATGTAGAGTGACCACTGCTAACATCATCATAACACAAAGCCCCCTGAAACCAATTTCCCTTTCCCGGTGACTCCAGGTTATGACGTAACCCGCCTGAATAACAATGACCCCCTTCCCCGGTTCCCTCAGAGAAGGCACACCGTGTCTGTACGGCGTCCTCGTCACAGACAGCCAGCTCAGTCTTCCATTACAAACACTTACGGTCCTTTATTCTTCCGTCACAACTCCTTTTCTGCCTCAGCAGCCGCCTTCGCAGTCCTCGTCTGTGCCGGGGGTTTCGCTGACGTCAGCGCCACGTACTCACGCGTCACTGGCTACTAAGCGCCAGAGAGCGCAGAATGATGACGTTAAAACGAGGCGCTCATATGACAACCCGGAAGTGGGCGAGACATACAGAGGCAGTGAAAGAACCACCATACCTATTTACCGCACAACGCTGGCGTGACCTGACCTACAATAACCACTGACTGCGGGCAAAGTGCTCTGTTGTGGATGATCTGCCTTACTTCTTGTCCTTTACTCAGTTTATAATCTGTTAAATGGAGCCTGACAATGCTGAGTGCTCATTTGGGAAAATACTAACTGGTAGGTTGTCTCTGGCGGCAGGCTTTAAAGTGACCCTGTCAAGATTTTATATATTTACCAATGGCAAGGTTCTGTAATAGAAGAGCTGTGTGTCTGACCTTCCCTTTCTTGCTGCCTTTGTTACTGTTTTTTGCATTTGACACTTCCAGGAGTGTTGGATGGCTGTGTCCCTCACCACACACTGTAGTTTCTTCCTTCAACCCTACGTCACTGCCAAATCCTATAGTGGCAGATGGTGGGATGATGAAAGTATGGTGCTCGGCAGGGGAACACAGACATCCAACTCCTGGAAGTGTCCAATACCGAAGAAACTAGTGGAGGCTGCAGCTCTGATATGAAGGGAAGGTATGACACATGGGCTACCAGAAAAGTGAGTATACTCTTCCACTAGAGAGAATTGCCAATAAGCATTATTGAAGGACCTGCCAGGCAGGGCCGGATTTCCCACAAGGCTGCTGAGGCCCGGGGCAGCAGGGGTGGTATTCCTATCGCATGAACAGGCGGGTAGTATTTTTTCCTACATTTAGCCCTGCTTTGGGAAAGCAGGGCTAAATGTACAGTTCGTTTTGTACCAGTTAGCTCCTGTGTGATAGCAATAAAGTTAGGTGAAAAAAAAATTTAATTTATATAAAGTAAAATATAATTAAAAAAAGTTAAAAAATATTTTAAGATAAATAAAAATTTTAATAAAAAATATATAAAAAAATAAAAGATAACATTAAAATTAAAAAAGTGCTAAAAAAACAACAACCCTTCCGCCCCCGTCATCTGGTTGCCATTCTCCGTTGGGGGGGTTGGCAGGCAGGGAGAGGGGCGCATTGAGGAACCTGACCTTGAGGCAGCAGAGGGAGTAAATCCGTCCCTGCTGCCAGGGACACTTCAAAGCCCAACTCCAATCTCCACCCCACTCAAATGAAACCCCTGGAAGCCATTCCATGTGTGCAATTAAGAAGTATACTGTGGGTACAAGGACAGCATCAATGTGTACAGAGTTACTAAAGAAAATCCTCATGCTCGATTCAACCACGCTTCATTACTCCACAACTGTTGTTCAGTGCAATGTGCCCACAAGCACAATTTGTCACCGTTTGCAAGAGATTTTTTGTCTTCAGTGTTCCCCGGGTCTTTCTAATCCTAACAGCGCCTATGAGCTCCCACCAGAGCATGAAATAAAGTAATAATATGCAGTGCTATGGAATTATATAAAACAATAACAAAGTGCTATAAAAGTGAAATCATATTCAAGACATACAATCCTTCATAAAGTCTTATGTATAACTTTCCAATAAATCACATAAGTGCTACAAAACCTGTTCTTTTATGTCTGCCAATTATCTCTTCAATGTGTACTAATATATTGAATTACAAAGTGTCAATTAGGGCTGCAACAACTAATAGACATAATCGATTATTGAAAAAGTTGTCAACGTTTTCAATAATCGATTAATCGGCTTCCGATCAGTTGACCCTGTTCACAGCTCCACACGCTGTGCGCCGCACCTCCTCCCCACCTCACGCTCGCCGCTGCCAGACCCGCTCGCATCCATGCTCTTAAATGTTGATTGAAAGCTGCTGTACTGTAAACCCGTGGGTCTAAAGGTATTTCGATTGAATATACAGCGCTAATAACTCAATTAGTGAATGTTAGATTACTAAATACAAGTGTATATATACAAACTATTTCTAACATGCGACTGTGTCAATTGATGCAATCGATGCTAATAACAAGTGATATGTGAAACACAATGTTCTTAAATAATAATTGGTGTCAATATCCTCTATAGACAAGAACCATGACTGAAAACAAATTGTTAAACCATCGTGCTATCTTAAACAATATATGAATTTTCTTTTTATCCTTCACATTGATTCTAATGTGTGATAAATCTCTGTGCAATCAGTCTGTATGTGAATAAAAAGTCTCTATGATAATTTAATTCTGTGCAAATAAACGTATGTATAAAATACAAAAAGTCTCTGTGATAATTTGGCTCCGCTTCAATAAAGGTGATCGAGTCTTCCAGTGTTCGGTGATTTAAATAGTGCTTTTCTGGGGTTTGTATTGTTACCAACACATTCCCCTTTCAGAGTGCGTACTCACCGCAAACTTTTGGCTGTAACAGACAGCCCCACACGTTTTGTCTGATGGAACACGCTAATACGGCGTCTTTATCGGCACCTACTGACCACCAGTCTTTGAAGTGTAGAGTGTTCATCCAATCATGCAAAGAAAAAAGTCCTTCATCGTGTAATAATTTCCAGGAGAAGTTTATTAGAAAAATAAAATTCAGTAACAATAAAAACACATCCGGCCGGTTCTGTTTTAATATTGTTGCTTCAAATGACCGTATATGCACATGAGCTGCCTTCCAAAGTGTTGCCTCAGATCAGGGGAGTCTGCATTTGTAGCAATGTGAACATTGTGAACCATTTCATGGAACCCTGCCTGAAGAGCATTTTCAACCTGCAAGAAGACTATGCCCAAACCCACACTTGAGGTGTCATCTGAACCAAAAATGTTCGATCACCTTTTATTGAAGCGGAGCCAAATTTTCACAGAGACTTTTTGTATTTTATACATACGTTTATTTGCACAGAATTAAATTATCATAGAGATTTTTTATTCACATACAGACTGATTGCACAGAGATTTATCACACATTAGAATCAATGTGAAGGATACAAAGAAAATTCATATATTGTTTAAGATAGCACGATAGTTTAACAATTTGTTTTCAGTCACGGTTCTTGTCTGTAGAGGATATTGACACCAATTATTATTTTAGAACATTGTGTTTCACATGTCACTTGTTATTAGCATCAATTGACATAGTCGCATGTTAGAAATAGTTTGTAACATTCACTAATTGAGTTATTAGCGCTGTATATTCAATCGAAATACCTTTAGACCTACGGGTTTACAGTACAGCAGCTTTCAATCAACATTTATATTAGTACACATTGTTTAGAGTATCACAGTAGATATAGGATTCACTGGATTTAACTTGTCGTTATTTATTTTATTTGATCACCATCCATCGATTTATGGTTTTAATTTTATTGGTATAGGTTCATATGTTAAAAAATTGAACATCCAAGCGCTGCTCATCCAGCTAAACAATATCTCAACAAAGTGCAACTGTGCTTTAAAACTCTCCCATATACCAAAGTGATATTCAATCCACTTTGACATAATCACTATCAGTCACAAGACACTTCAATTCCACCTCTGTACTCTGTGTGTCACTTCAAACTGAATACTGCTCACCTTCTCTTAATTAAGATTCCTTAAGAGACCTTATCTTAATTAAGATTCGGTCATGCACGCGTGTATATAGAACTCAATTCTTTACGTTTTTCGTAGTCCTCTGCAGAATTCTAATAAAAGGAAACCACTCATCCTCCTTAGATCTTACCACTTCTGCACGTTACTGATGGAATTAGGTTATTAAATGATAGCGATACCTAAATATCCCAACATAATCCACTCCAAACATCCAGCGCTGAGGCCGCCATTGTGCTGCAACACACGTGTGTTAGAGCTGCTTTTGCCTTTCGAGGTGCCATTTAAAATGAATGGCACTGCAACATGCTATTCCACATATCGTACATTGCAGGAACATGTGTGTTACCACAAAGCACCCTAAAAGGTGTGTTTAAGCCTGTGACTGGAAATGTATATCAGAATTTAAATACATTGTACTGACATTTTAGTACATCCCACAATTTATTGATACACACTTTAGGTCCTACTTTTTGTTGAGGCTTTTCAGGCCACTGACAGTGCCATGTAAGTGTAGGCACTATTGGATGTGTTATTATTGCACCCGCAGGTCTCTAGGTTTGGCATAGGTTTGGGGTAATGTATTGAGTAGGCAGTTGTTAAAATAAATGATACTCCCAAAGGTAAAATATGCCAGATATGCACTAACGGTTGAATTAAAACTCTATTAGTTTTCCGGAGTAAAAAATGGAGATGAACATTTGACTAATTGCTATGGGCAACTTGGCTACTTTTGCAACAATGTTGGAAAAAAGGGTCAATCTGTAATGGTGGCCTTTATGTTAGGAGCAACATAAAATGTTTTGTTAGTTTCAGCTAAACTCCAGGCAGACAGAAAAAGAAAAAAATAGTGCTACCAGAGTTTGGATTAGTAGCCTCTTCATAGCCCCAATCATGCCATATCCCGCAGGACTGTCACAGGATTGCATCCCATGGGTCCAGGACACGTCTCACATCTGAAGGGCAAGCTGTCCTTGTGGAGGGCAAGGTGTCTGGCAGTCACAGCACATGGAAGGAAAAGCAAGGAGAATTTAAGGAAATCTCTTTTCTTCTGACTGCCAGCGTTGGCACATTTTTTTCCTTCACAGTGACATCACAGCATTTTCTTCTACTGAGCACCAATGCTCAAGAATGATTTCCTCTCACTTATCACAAACACTACAATGGTCTACCTTTCACTAACTACTGAGACAGGGAAAATCCTTTTCCTCACATACATAGTCCGGATCCCTGCACTCTAGCCTATGTTGTACCTCACATACTCCTAATTCCTGCAATCTATACACTATGTTGTACTCTTCATAGAATAGTGAGAGCAAAAAAAAAACAAGTGCTCAGTCGAGTCTGCTCTTTTTTAATATGATATGTTGTACTTACCATAGTCCTGAGCCCTGTACTCTTTACAGTATTTTGTACTTACTATGTTCAATGTTACAGAGTCCTGACCCCTAAAATCTATACCCTTTGTTTTA